CCCACTTGGACTGGATCCACTGGTTTCCTTCGCCTTTTGGTTGTGCCGCCTTTCATTCTGTCCCCATCGCCTTAGTAAAGTCTATTGGCTGTTCAACTAACTACCCGTCTACGCCGTTATTTTTATCGGGTCATAAAATTCGATGGCTGCGTAAAGATCTGCCTTTCTGCTGTTTCATCCGACAGTTTGACCGTCGCGAGCAACGTAGTCCATCCTGTGCCTCACACAGTGGGCGTGGTATTAATTGATAGTGAGTTCGACTTGCACCGCGTCTACTGCACTCTCTTATCCCTCACTCACCAAAAACCAATGGCAAGACAATCTAAATGCTATCATAGGTGGGCCCTGGTGTCGTGGCTAGCTCAACTTAACGATCCGCGTCAAGTGCGACCTACTCCCTACACAACGTATCAAATTTTTACAAGACAGGAAGCTCAGATCTGCTGTGCGTCAGAACATCCTGGATGTCACGTGAAGAAGGAGCCATTGAGTCAGTTCTTCAGTTGACCAGTTAGTCACTCCACGCTAACACACGTAATATTGACCACCAGGCTGTAGTTATCATGAGGAGCATTGCACTAATGGATGTCTCATAACCGAGACGGACAGGGACGGAGGAGAGGAATAAACGGCAAAGGCAAATGTGTAACGACTTTATATCAAAGTTTATCTGAATTGCGCTATACCTAAAGGTATCGGTACCTTCCATTATCCTCACCTATGAACGAGATAAGTCCAGGTTATCGTCTTTGAAACATTTAAGGGTTTTCTATCAAGCAATTTCTCATTGACTGCCGCTAACATTTGCATTTTGCCTCTGATAACCTCTGCAATCTCCTCTTGCTCATTCCATTCTGCGTGCAGTGTTCACAGAGTAGCTTACTCGCCAGCCAGATTGTGCACCTCGGTTCCCAACTAACAGCGTCCCCGGCCCGCACCTCGCGCGCCAGTGATGACAGTCGCAGCAATCTCAGTCTCCGTGGCTCTGTTTCATCAGATCCACCCTT